CCACATGCTTCCCAAGCAAGAGTTACTCAAAAGTTACAGCAACAGCCTGTTCTGGCTGTGCTTGCCAATCTTATTTCTGACTCCATCAACACTGATTGGAAAACCTGTCCTAGCTGGCAAATGAGACCACTCCAGAACAATACAGAATGTCTGCCATTCCTGCAGGTGACAACCTCCCATCAAAGAGAACTTGTTGCTTACCGCAGACTCATCCCCCTCAAACCTTCACACCTGCAAACCTGGAGTTTACTGTGTAGGCTCTCATCAAACTGGCCTGACACGGCTGAAGAATGAGATCTCTGACTGTGCCCGTCAGGCTGAGAGGGGCTGGGGGAACAGCCAGGGGAGGAGCCAGGGGAGCACGGAGCTGTGCAGCCAGCCATGCCCGGGGTGGACTCTCCTCCCCACCGTTCCCTATTCTGGCATCCTGATGGCTGTTATCAGACTGAAGCTTTCCTTCTTTCTCTGGAAAAGCATCATTCCTGCTTTTCAGGGTTGGGGTTGGCTCACATATAGAATAGCACTGAAGACTGGCTATACTTTTCTTGACCTTCTTTTTCCATAGAACTTTCAGCGATGCCACACTACTGGCAACTCCTCTACTTATATAGTGATTAAGAACACCGTGTTGGAGCCTCGGCCATCTGGCTTTGTATACCGGCTCTGTTCCTAGCTGCACTGCCATGTTGCTTTTAATTAACTTCTCTAAGGCTCAATCCCTTCATTATATAAAATGTGAGGAATAACAATATCTATTCCAACAGGGCTTGAGTGGATGGAAGTACGCACATAAACACCACAAATGGTGCCTTGTATACAGCAAGCACTAACAGCTCTATCCGTGTATACAGTACACACTCAGCAGCAGCTCTAACCTTTTATACAGATGCAAGCACCTTACCTCTTTTGACTCTCAGGGAAATAAACATCTACCTCCCACACTTAGAAGGTGTAAAAAATTACAGGTTAAATAAGGAACCTACCTTATCATCACAGAGTATGTATTTGGAGGGCATTTTAAACCAGTCTTAATTATTTATCATAATAATTGTGTCAACATAAAAAGACCGATCCATTTTCTGGCTAGAAATTATTTGAAGAATTTTTGTGTCTAAAATTGAACTTGGAAGGTGTTTAACTTCAAGAGCTTGAAAGAGGTGTGGAGGAGTAGACTATGACAGAGAGAAGGGGGACATCTTTTTATATACTTTGTGGTAGAAAGAGGTGTTATATAGGGAAATGCCTGTCTTCAGAAACTTAGCAAGACAAGTGTGGGGGCCATTGACCAACGTGCACATACACACATGAAACAGCTCACTAATTATGCTTCCACTCTATTTTTGATAAATAATTAATATTCCCAGAAAATTGATGTCAAGTTTTCAAATGTTATTTTCTGAGAATGTCGATGTGCAAACATTCTCCCATGGCTTCCCTGGCAGTGATGACATTAGATAATGCCTGGGGAAATGGGTGGTTTTGTATGAGTTGGGAAGGATGGAGAGCAGGGTAAACTAATTCCCCACAAGTTTCAGAAGAGCAACCTGGAACTCGGGAACTGTGGACACAGCAGTTATGTTGCTCATCTTGGTTTTGAGTTGACTGTGTTCCCAAGCTGAACAGCTGTGGGAGACCAAAAGCCCTTTGGTAAATCCCAAAGTGGATAAATAATCCTGGTAAAATGGACGTGCCAATGAAACTGCTCCAGCTACAATTTCAACCTAATCCATATAAAGTCAGAGCAATCCAGGAGTGGTCCCAGAGTAACCCATCTCCTATGATTAAATAGGGACTTTATTAAAATGGATTGATGGCTTTAGTAGGATGTCGCACTTGATCCCATAAATGAGCCTTGCTTTAGTTTTCTTAGAGAATTATAATCTGAAAGTAGCCGGGCACTATGCCGGTTTGGCCAGGCATTTTCAACCAGAATGCTGGAAAAGCAAACAGAGCACTGAGCAAGGCCAGTAACGAGAGGGGGAACTGACTCTCGAGGTCGGCTCAGGTTGGCCAGGAGCCTCTTGGGAAAAACAGCATAGTGCCAGAGGTGGCAGGGGCAGCAAGCTACAGACACTCTGTCCAAGAACAGGGCTGGCATGGATGCCGCAGCCTACCAGACTCTAGGCTGCACCAATCTGCCCTGTCAGCCAGTTCTGAGCTTCTTCGTGGAGTTAGCCTGTTTGCTCCCCTCACACAGAACTGACCATGTGGACTTCACCGACATGGGCATAACCTTCTCATCAGTCCTGACGCTAAAGAGGTTTGAACCATAGAAACAACAGGGGTTTAAATACCTCTTGTTCTTGTTGTCAGCAGTGATTTGATAAGCTTGCTTTTCTGTTCTCTTATTATTTTATGTATGGTTTTTGTGCTCTGTGGATCAGGCAGAGTCAAATGAACCGAGAAATGATTAGATAGATAGAGGGGTGAATTGTGCTGGGTAATTGCTTGATTTACGCATTGAGTTACAGGAAAACACCAACTCACACTTACAGAATGTCCATGCACCTGTTCTTCTATAAATATACACTCCAGGCAAACACACCTGCATGCTAGATATGCTGTTTATGGAAATACATGTCTAAAGAACATCCAAAATAACAAAAGCCAGTGTTCCGTGAGTCTTCACCATTTTCAGCAATTACTCAAGTCGTACTTCATAAGCCATTATCCTGATGTATCATATAACTTTTGAAACAGGTGTCATTACTGTATTATCCCAATTTTACTTGAAATGAAAGGCATACCAACTTTGAGAGGCTTGCCCTACTTTATAAAGTCTGCAAGATTCAGCCTCAGGTTCCAGGCCAGGTTTCTCTGCAGTTGGTGTGTACCCCACAACAGGTGAAGATGACCCACTAGTCTCTGGGTGCAATATTAGGATACATACCTAAAATCAAAAATCATTGACCTTCGCAGACTGTGGGACCCTCTCACACCTGGCCTGAATGTCAGATGCCAGACACTGCGGAGCGGGGCTGAGAAACAAGGCATCTCGTGGCGTGCTGAGAGTGGGGCATCCTGAGCCAATGACTTTGTACAGAGGACTGTTAGAACTTGGTGAAAGAGCCATGGACAGAATATCTCATTTTAACTAAACATTTTAATTAAACTGTCCAAACGGGACAAGGGATTTAGGAATAATCCTACCAAGAACCATCAACTAAGGAGAGATCCAACAGCATCAATGCACAGGCGGGAGAGAGAATGCAGCCCTGTAGATGGCACCATGACCCCAACATGGCATCCTGTGAGCCTGGGACAGCTGTGGGCGAGCAGTGAGGCCACTACCCTTCACACGGCATCTAAGAACACACAACAGACACAACAGGCCTCTGCTAGGCGAATATCAGAGAGAAAAAAAAGAAAGAAGTCACAGCCTTTGAAAGTCCATTTCCACAAAATATGCACGAACATTTATAACCAGAGCCCTGGAATGGGGAGAAGAGAGAACTGAGAGAATATACTATAAATAATAGTGTGACAAGCCCAGCTCCATTTTCTATGGATAAGGCCTTTTGAAGAGCTATGTTAAGATAGAATGAAAGAGATGAAGACACATGGACCAGGATGGATTCTGCTGCGGAACGGGTCAGTACACAGGCATTTCCCACCTGTCTTATCTTGTGGCTATCTGGCTCATTATCTCAAATGCAAAACACACATGTATGTAACTCTGTGTATGTGGTTAAACGTTACAGGGAAGAGGTGCTGGGGAAAGTATGTTTCTCAATAAGGAGTGGCATTTTTGAGGCTAACAACCAACTTCTGTATTACACTTAAATGACTGGTAAATAGCTACAGAAAGACATTTAAGAGGCTCTCGAAGAAAAACAAAAACAGATACTTAAAACTCATTCATGCCTCACCTCACCTCACTTGATAGTAAATCAAGTTAAACCCAGGAGTATGTGACATTCTCAGGATGTTAAGACATTTAAATAAAAAATAAAATTCAAAACAGACTTGAATCACAATTCAAAAACAAAGCAGAACCCACATAGCCCATGATAATGGGATAAGGACTTGACCATCCCATGCCCTCTCACAGAGGTCGTAGCCATCTCAGGGAAAAGAGTTAGCAAAATTAAAGGTTATTAATCCATATTCTTAACAGAGATACTAGTGATCCACTTTAACCAACCTTTCCTATGACTATAAGGAGTTGTCATACAAAAACATTTTTGGAAAGAATGCATTCACCTCACCTGTGTCTTGAAGAAAAGCTCAGTAAAAAAAAAAAAAAAGCTATAGAAAAAGAACTATAAAAGGCCATGGAACACATGGAACATGTTCAACCTGGTTGAAAATCAAAACTAAACACCAACATGGAAATGCCAGTTCTCAGACGATGTGATTAGGAACGCACCCCAAAGCCCCACCCCCCCAAACCTGGGCTGGCAAGGCAGGGCATGCATGGCACAGTGGGGAGAGCCTGGGCTGCTTTCCCACAGTGAGAGTGAGCGTGGAATTTGCATAACTACATGGAGGACACTTGGGAGAAATTAGTAAAATAAAGACACATTTGCCCTTTGATACATGAATCCCTCTCCTAGGGAACCAAGGCTGATGACATTCTGACATTATTTAATTGGGTAACAATTAAACACTAACTCCAATATCAAACAGCCTAGCTTTATCTTGTTTTTCTTTACACTTTTTGATGCACGCTCCTTCAAATATATTGGATACATGTGAAACAGGGATACAGGATAATAATGTTCTAGATCCAGTGTGAAGGTAACACACAGGCATAGTTTGGCTCTTGGGTGAATCATTTTAAAATTCACTTTCAGCGCCTTTGCAAAAGCTACACATTTTCTAATGTGTACTTTTGTACCTTTTATGAGCAAAGAATAAGTGTGTCGTATCCAGCAAAGATTGGATCTAAGCTGCTGATGCTTGGCTGGGGATCAGGACTGTCTGAGTCTTACTCCAGGAGCTCTCCTTCTTGTCCCAACAGGTCTCCAAAATAAACATAAACAAAGCACTGGACTTACCCACACAGGGCAGGGAGTAGCCAAGTTGGGGGTCATGGATGAATTGCCGGTCATTGAGCCGCGTCACACAGTACAGGTAGAAACAGTCCAAACAAATCACATGGCGGTGGTTGCACTGGAAAACCAGGACAGGGTTCCTGCGAAGACAGCACAAGGGCAAGCATGAGCCTCGGAATAATCTGTGCAATCTTGCAGGCTTATTTGGAACATTCTGTGTGCGAAGACAGCTGCACTGAGGTCCCACACAAGGTCAAATGGTAAAAATCGGAGGCACTCTCTCAACAATAAAGAACATTGATTCCTCTAATTTGATATTTCTTGTGTCAATATACTTATCGATTGGTTGTATAAACTTGAACTTAAATATAATCTCTTTCTGGAAGTCTTCCTTGATTTATAATCCCAGTTAGCCTACTAAAATCACTCCATGCGATTGGATAGCTTTCCATTGATCCATTCTTACATCTTAGTTTCAACCCTCTTACACACTGTGATTTTCTTGAAAGTAGATATTGGATCTGTTTTACATCAATATGCCCTTCCAGTACACCGGAAGGCTTAGAATAAATGTTTCTTGGGCCCGGCGCGGTGGCGCAAGTGGTTAAAGGTCCTCGCCTTGCACGCCCGGGATCCCATATGGGCGCCGGTTCTAGTCCCGGCAGCCCCGCTTCCCTTCCAGCTCCCTGCCTGTGGCCTGGGAAAGCAGTCGAGGACGGCCCAAGGCTTTGGGAACCTGCACCCGCGTGGGAGACCCGGAGGGGGCTCCTGGCTTTGGATCGGCATAGTATCGGCCCGTTGCGCTCACTTGGGGAGTGAATCATCGGACGGAAGATCTTCCTCTCTGTCTCTCCTCTCTGTATATCTGCCTTTCCAAAAATAAAAATAATAAAAATAAATCTTTAAAAAAAAAGAATAAATGTTTCTTGCGGCACACCAGCCTAAGCTTCCGTGTGGGGCACCCACAATCTCCTATTAGAGTCCATAGGATTCGTTCCTGCCTCTACTTCTGATCCAGCTGCTTGCTGTGATATCAGCGAGTCAGCAGTGAGTGCCCAGTCACCTGGGCTCCCGTCACTCACCTTGGAGACCCTGGTGGAATTCTTTGGTTAGTGGTTTTGCCCTGCTCGAGTCCTGGCTGCTACATGCATTTGTGGGGAGTGAACTAGTGGATGGAAGATCTCTCTCATTCTGTTTCTCCCTCTTGCTCTGTTATTGTTTCCAATAAATAAAATTTTAATAAAGCTTCTTAAATGTAACTATAATAATAAAGAGAAACAAAACTTCTCCCAAATCAAAATAAAAGTTAGCACTGCCCCAAAGTAGTATATTACACAATCACACATTTCCAATGCAAGTTAGGAATAAAAGATTACCCAATAAAATTCTTTTACTGCAAGGTTTTATTTATTGTGTCACCATTCTGCTAAATATAGAATTTCTTGGTTATAGTTAGGGGATTACCAATACACTAGTGCATGTAAATTCCCCAAATTTTAGATTTTCCCAAAACATTAAAAAAAAAATGGGAACAAAAATCCTTGAAGAGCCATGTATTTTGCTAGCAAATGAACCACATTAGTTTAGACGCAACAGGAGGCAAAATGAATATATTAATTTGAGATCAGCCCCAAGGCAATTTTAATAGCAAGAAGTTACTGGAATCTTCTAGATAGCTATTCCCCGTGTAATGCTAGTAAAACACAAAATAAACACGTTCATTTCACAGGCAACGTGTTACAGCTCTAAAAGCACTTCAAGAGCCCATTCCCTAGAAAAATTAATATTGAATAATAAAAGTGCAGGAGACAATTTTTTTTAACAACTAAGTATTTTCAAAACGGTGATCTCATGTATTTTAAGCTATATGAAATACAAAACAAAACAGACTAAAAAATCCAACCCTTAGCAGGAGTGTTTCAATTTTTCTAAGTAACTGGCCAACATCCTATGAGCATGCAGGTCCCTGCAGGTGTCCCTACAGCTGTCAGTGTGCTCCCCGCCCCCTCTCTGATCTCATGAACATCCTTCAGCATCCCCACTCCCAAGGCCATATTCATCAAGGATTGGCTGCTCTCAACTGTCAAGTTCTCCCATCAGCAGCTTTCCTTAAGAGGAAAGCTTTATAGTGTCCTTAACAAGACACTGCAGAACACGTCCCTATTTCCAACCAGAGTCAATCACACACGCACACACACGTACATATGAGTGCAAAGTCATACATCTTCCTGTTCCTGCACCAACTGTCAGAGCTGCTGCATTTTGCCTTTTCTCAAAGCTATGTTTCATATATATATATATATATATATATATATATATATAATACCCTCCACTTCGCTTACAGCAATGTGGTAAATTGAGCCTTTATCAACCAACACATGGGCAAACTGGAGAAAAAATATTAATATGAAAATGTCTCTACACAGAAGGTTTTAAAAGAAAACTTAGCAATGTGAATGCTGTAGGGGCCTGGGAGTCTGGGTATGGAGATACACACTCCCCAAATAGAGGGTGTTGGAAAGCTCCTCCCTCCAGCTGCACCAGCATGCCTGAGCCTGGAGCAGCAGCTGTGGGTTCTGGCTGTCCCCCACTGAGGCACATCCTCCTAAGGATGCTGGAGAGGTCCACCCACCAGGCTTCAGGCCCGCCCAGGCTGCTTCAGCCCCTTTTCATTTTAGAGGCAGAAAAATTAGGACATATGCAGACAGATGAAGATACGAAGAAATAGAAGTATGTTACGGTATTGATGCATGACAGTCTCAACACGAAGCCTTGCTCATGTGTTCCCAATCACCTGGCTTTCTTGATATGATGATGAGGAAAGACTGATCATCTTTTATTCAGACTCCTCCTCCTGGTGAGAAGGATTAGGTGAGGGACAAACACAACACCTGTGCGAAGGCTGTTAGTTCAATCCGAGGAAACGAGTCAAGTTTACTTCATGGCCAGAATCTCACACTAAGTTCCTATGTCGTGCCACAAAGGGGAGTGCAGGGAAATAACGTTCTCAAGCATGCACTGTGAGTCGGGGCAGTGCTACCAACCCCACGTGCTGATGGACTGACTTCTTCATTTTCCATCTCAGGCTGCTAAGATGACCTGCTTCTCTTCCAGCCAGCATCCTGCTCTGACTGTATCTCCATAGTGGTCCTTGCACAGCCTCACAAGCAGGCTTCAGTGGATCAGTCTAGAAATGACTGTGCCCCAGTGAGTTAGGTTCTGTGGCAGGTAATGGAGGGGGAGGGAGCAAGTGCTCAGTCAACTACAGGAACAATGACGGGAGCTTTACTGGACATCACTGGACTGTTCTGTCTTAAAGAGCTAAAGGAGTAATCCAGAGAACCTCTGTTTGCAGTAGATGAAGCTTCCTTGAAGGTTTTTAGTGAAAAACACAGCAAGTCACCCAAGTACAATGTGCAAAGCAGATTGTTGTCACACGGTGTTCGAGACATGTAGACTCCTGCAAAATGAGTCCTCTACCAGCTGCAAAAATAGCATCGTTTTTCACATTTATCTAGTTAAATGTGCAGTTCAGTCTGCTGTCCCCCTCCGTTGCATTGTCTTGCTCTTTTGCTCTTTTCAAGCCTCAGCCGTGCTCCTTCACATATACATTCTCTCTTCCCCCCGTCCTTCCCAGTTTTGTCTCTCTGTCTCCATCTGTCTTTGTCTCAGTGTTTCTGTCTCAGAGTTTGACTCTTGCTCATGGACACCTTCATTTACACTCATTAAGAGAGGTTCTGGTTCCAACTTCCCCAATGAATGAAATATCTGTTGCGAGCAATGTTCCAGAAACTGCATGAACTGTATAGAGAAGGAAGCATGTCTCATCTCAATTGGGCAGGCAGCAGTGGAGATCAGTGTAGCCTAGGGGAGAACACTGCAGATGATGCTGGGATGGTGACCATGTTAGTGGGCTTCTGTGAAGTAGCCCCCCGGAGCAGGGGTGGGGGTGCTCCTCCACATCACCCCTGGCCTGGTCTGCTTCTACTCTGAATGGGCCAGCTGGCATGCCAAGAGAAAAACATAGAAATGACCAGGTGTCCTCTCGGGACTAGGTCAGCATGGTCACTGGCTTCTGTCTGTCTTCTCACAGATGATGAGTGCTGAGAGTAACATGCAATCTTGTCACAGAGAATGCAAGCAGTCTTACTTGGGGTAATCCACGGGGCAGTGTGAGGAGTGGTGCACTGGAGCTGCCCCCATGAATATAACAGGCCATCGCAGGATGGCGGCTGGCTCAGGGCCAGGAGGCAGGGTTGGTCTCCCCAGCAGGTAAACAGGAAGTCACAGGGATAGGCTGATGCCCTCGCTGCAATTATGTCATTGCTACTGGCCTATCAGGTAGCGCCGAGTGGTCCACAGTGAGAAGTGATTGGTGGAGAGCGGTATAAAAGCAGCCGCTAAAAGCAATAAGAGGACAGGGGAGAAGAACGGGGCAGCAGAGAGGGGCACAAAAGCAATAAGACCTACGGGAGAAGTACGGGGAGAAAAGCAGCAGAAAGAGGGGTATAAGAGCTATGAGGAGAAAAGCAGCAGAGAGAGGGCTAGAAATGCAGCAAAGAAAAGCTAAGACCTTCAGGGAGAAAAGCAGTGGAGAAAGAGTATAAAAGCAGCCGCTTTGGGCAATAAGGGGTCCGGTTGTGGTTCCGGCTTCTCCCAGACCCTCAAGAGTGTGCCTCATAGGTAGTGTTGCTGCTGGTCAGTGACAGGGCAGGTCAGGCCAGTGGAGACCCTGACAAGGGTCAGCACCCATACTGTGGCCACCCTAGTCATTATCCTTGGCATGGGTTCTCCAGCTCAAGTCAGGTCTTGAGACGGCCGAGACCCTGGCTGACCCCTGCACCACCAGTTCAGATTGTTCCGACACTCCTGATTCACTGACACTGGGTAGATTGACACTCAAGGTTGAGGCAATTTTTTTCTTTGTGATAATGTCTAAGTGACATAAGTTTAGGGGATGAGGAGATCACATTGATATTTCACACCAGGAAATATTCATAGACACAGCATGGAAGGAGGCTTGTGTGGTCTGCTGTAGCCAGTCTATCAGGGGAAGGTTCAAGGCAAATGTATCGTATGAGAAGAATTACACATGGGGTTCAAAAACATTTTGCACCAAAAATAAGCGTGTTTTAATTCC